ATCGCTCTCTTCTCTGCATACACGGTGAGTCAGTCACTGTGTAGTACAGCAGAGGAGTAACAGGTCACTGAACCTTTCTCTGGTAAGAGAAGACCATGTGAGAATACTTAGATTAATAGAAAATGTGTTAATAATTAAGACAGAGCTAGCCAATAAAACCATAGCCAAGAGCCAACAGTTTCATAACTAATATAGCGTTTGCATGTTCATTTGGGGCTGAAGTGATGGCGGGGCCAGCTGGGGCAGAAAACTCACACTACACCCCATAAAATCACCAGCACCCCAATCAGCAGGAAGTTGCATAGAAAACTACACCCAAATTCCAAAGATATTATTTATGGGATTGATTATAAATGGTTGATGGTCATAGTCAATCCCTTTTTAAAGAAAAAAAAAAGGGGGATATAATATAGAAGTAATGAAAAAAGATTATTGAATCTACTTTAATATAAAAAAACATACATTGGTATGGGTTTTGGTTTGTTGACACAAATTTAAGGTCAATTTTGTTATTATATATTTATATATATAATTTCTACTCTTGATTAAGGTATTATGTTTATGCAACACATTTAAAAGTGAAACGTATAGTTACATTGACAAATTCTATTGTTCACTGAGCTGGGACATAGATCCTTGTTCAATTACATCTTCACCAGATTTCTGTTTTTGATGTTTCCTTCACTCACTAAGCTTGGATGTCCTGGAATGTAGATCTCTCTAGACCAGGCTGGCCTCAAACTCAGAGTACTCAGCCTCTGCCTTCTGAGTACTGGGCTTAAAGGCATATGCCTAGACCTAAGTTCTTTAATTCATTCTCAAAGGTTGGAAGCTTAGCTGGGCAGGGTCTTACCCCTTTATTCCATTTCTTAATCCGTTTATCTCCTTGAACACAGGACTTAGCTCCATTCTTCCTGGTGCCCCTTTTCTCCTCAATTTGTACATTTTCTATTTTACTTGCTCAACGTGTTCTTTTTCATTACAGATCTTCATAAGAGACCATTGAAACCACACAACAGAATCTGTACTGGGCTGTTTTGAGATTTCCTCTGCCAACAGAATTAATCCAAATCTTTTCATTTTAGCCTCAGGAAGACTCTAGATAAAAGCAAAAAGCATCCATATTCTTCACCAAAATATAGCAAGAACAGTCTCTAGGCCACGTATTAAAATTCTCCTCTGAAACCTCTTGAGCCAGGCCCACACAGTTCAAGTCACCCTCATCACCACCCTCTCCCATGCTCCCTTTAAGCTTCACTTAAAGTCCACATTCCTAGGGGAACTATTTAAACCACCAAGCCTACCCAAGTTGCTTTTGGTCCTGGATTTATTACAGCCATAAAACACAAACTAAAAAACAGGCTCATCCAGAGAAGTTCCAATTCTGATCAGAAGGGCTGGAGAAGACCATTGGTGCGTCCACTGGAAGCAGAACTAATCGGGGGCTGTAAACCTTGTACTCTGCTTATTGTATCTTGTATATAGGAGCCCTAGAATAAATTTGGGCCCTGAAAGTGGGTTTCTTAATTTGTAAGAAGATTGAGAATAGCTGGGTTACTTTATTCCTACATGAAAATAGAGCCCCTTAAAAAATTAATAGTGCAGATCCAATGAATTTTAAAATGTTTCAAGCAGGTTTGTGCCTGTCATTCTTAAAACTGGAGCACTTACTTATAATAGCTAATCTCCACAGGGGTGGTGGGCTCTCCCTCTTCTCCCCTGACATCAAGAACTAATGGGCTGATTTGGAAGATGACATCTTGAGCATCTCAGTGGGAATGGAGAAATTGTTGCATAATCATACTGAATGATCCTGACTACATACTCTAAAGTGTATAGAATTTTTAGATTAGTGGAAACTTCCCCCGTCCTAGATTTGTAACATAAATGTTGAATCTAATTATAGAGTAGGATATATCAGCCAATTTAACTCTCTAAATTATAGCATAATGCAGATTCCAATATTTAGACTTATATCACAAATGCGTGTACGCGCGTGCGTGCACACACACACACACACACACACACACACACACCATACTGTATAGAGGTGACAAATGCCTTTACCTGCCTCGCAAAAGTGTTCAACACTGTCAGCAATTTTGCTATAGTGGCACTGAACAAGCTTAATGAGGGCCAATTTACTTGTGATTGGTTCTAGCCAGGATAGAGGTTCTAGTCTTTATCTGGAGTCAGTGGTATCAAGTTTTGCTGATATTAGTGGATCCCTATTTAGACAAGCTACTTTTTGGCAAAGTGAAATTAAAAGTTTTGTGTGCAATCTATTTTATGACTCATCTTCAAAGTCACTCTTGATAGAGCAGCCTTGGGACAGGGTCTCACTACATGGTCCATGCTGATGGCCTTGAACTTGTAGTGCTCCTGCTTCAACTTTCTGAGACCTGGAGCATAGATCCTGGGAGAACTTTAGTATTTTGATTAAATATGCTAGCTAGGGTTTATAAAGACCTTAAGCTCAACTTAGATTTTCCTGTCTACCATAGAACCTCCCATCTTACTCCCTTTGCTCAGTTTTATTATTTTCTGAAATTATAACATAGTACAATATGATATAAAATGATAACAATATCACATTTCTTATCTGTTTCCTCCATGAGACAGTGAGCTGTAGGAGCCAAAGTCATTGTCTCACCTACAGAACCCATAACTATGTTTGACATGAAGCAGTTAATAAAACATGCATCGACTGGTCAAACTTAACTTATAGGTGGCCAGTACAAGTTTTATCCATTGTAATTTTATACTATGTGAGAATAAGTTCACTGGACTGGTTATTTACAGCAGGTTTTAGAGATTAGAAGATGAGCTGGAAATCCATTTTACCATGCCTCTGGTCCTCTTAATGGTGAGTGGAATTCTGTGATTCTGTTACCTAGGAGTGCTGCTGAGTAGATTTTGGAATTGTAAGTATATAGTCACAAGACACAGGAACCGATTCTGGAGTAAATTTCTAACATCAGTGTTCATTCTACAACTGGTTTCAATTCTTTCAAGTCCTCCTAGCATGGTTGAGCTGAATTTAAATCTTTTTTTAAATGGTAGCTTTGTGCATGTGATTCTCTCTGCTAATGGTCATATAGACACAGAGCAAGGCTCTTCTATTTAGGCAAAGAGATAACTGCATTTAGAAAGGTTCTATTTCTCTTTTCCTCCCATCTGGTTCCACAGGACCCTGAGTAGACTTGAACAGCCCACTTTAAACATCTGCTCAGCTCAGCTGGGGCTCCCTTCCCAACCATGGAAGGATGAGTGGAGACCAATAAGTCTGAGAGTTTAAATTGCATGGCTGATGAAATCAAAAGCACACCAACAGACTACCTGTCCTGTGGGCATGGTGTGGTCTCCTCTTACCTACTCCTCATTTTCTCACGTTCATCATCCCCTGCACTCCTCACCAGATGACAGTAATCACCAGAAATGAGGTTGACTTGATTCTTCTTCAGACCACAGATGGAAAGTGAGGGCTCTCACTATATTTGACTCCAAGTAACTTAGCAAGACAAAGTTAGTAAATCAGGATAATATTCTAGCTTGTTTTTTGAGCAGAAATTATGCATGTTTTTCATACCTATGCAAGTTTGTGCTAGCATAAATGTAGGCCAGAGACCACCTTCAGTTATTGTTCCCCAGGAGTTACCATGTTTTTTTTTTTTTTTTTTTTGTAACATTTTCTCACTGGGAACTTGGAGCTGTCCCATTAGGCTGGACTGCATGGAGTCTAGTGATCCCCTAGATCCCAGTGATCCACCATTCTGACTCTCCAGCACTGAGGCCATAGCACATGCCTCCACACCCATGCTTTCACATTCATGCTGGGGATCAAACATGGGTTTTCATCTTATGCTGCAGCATTTTACCAACTAACTCACTTCACAATCTCAGCTATACCTTTGGAAAGATGGACACCTTAACCATAAACATACATTTGTATGTTCATGGCTTCTCTGTTTTCCCAGCCAAGCAGAGCTACTGCAGTGGAAAATTCTTGGCCACGTGGTAGAAGACTCACAATTTTATTTATATGATCAGTGATACATAACTGTAACTGGTCTCAGGCCACTTCTCTTGTGGCCATGGTTTTTTAAAAGCAGTCAATTCTGTCAACCTTGTGCCCACATTTGGACAGCAGAGCTGGAGACAGAAGAGGAGAACATACTGTCTGCCCTTGTATGTAGTGGTCAGAAATGCTTCCAAACCTGTATGCACGGGGCATTCTCCCACAATAAAGAATCATCCAGGCCCAGTGGACAAAGTACTGAGATCAAGAAATCTTGCTCTCTACTGCCACAAATGAAAAGTCCACATGGTGTTAGGAGCCTGGCAGCTTAAGTGAAGCCAAACTAATTCTCCATGGCTGGAATCTTGGCTATAACACCAAGACCATCAAACTGTGCTTAATAAAGTGACACTGCAGGGTCCAGCAGATGCTACACAATCAGGACAGCTAATTTTGTTCTAATCCCTAATCCCACCACTCTGTTGGGTAACCTCCAAGGAAGAGGAGCCAAATCAGGGTGGCAAGTGATACCTACAACTAAGAATGTTCGGGAATGAGGGGACAGAAAACTTGTTTGGGAGCAAGAGGTATTATTAGGTGACCTGAAACTTAGGATCAACATCACCACCTAAGATCCATTGCAGGGATGGCTGCAGACCTGGGAGTGTCCTCCCGAATGTGCAGTAAGGAGGGAAAACATGGATCCTCTGCAGAGGAGACTAATCAATCTGACCCAAGCCACAACTCCAGTCCCAGCTCTTGAGCCAAGCTGTGTGATCCCAGGCAAGTCGCAAGTCTTTTCCATAAAACCAGGAGCTGGCCCCGGCTCTGCAGGATTGTGCTCAGCTCTTATTCTCAATGTTTTCTTCTTTGGGCACATAGGAATCGGGTGGCTTTATAGTAAGAAGCCAGCACTGTACATTTAATAATTTGCAATACCATGTGGTGAAGGAAATAAAGAAAAGAACACATGCGGTTTTACACCCTCAGGAAAACTTTAATTGGATAATCACTCATTCAACAAACACCAACAACCACCTCCTTTGAATAAGATATGAAAACTTCTACATTTCAGTTTTCAAAAATGTGTTTTAAACAAACCCGGAGCTCTTTAAAAGTTTGTTTCCCAGGATTTACAGCAGTTAACATTCAGCTCCCCAGCGAAGTTCCTCGCTGTGGTTCATGGTTCACACAGGACAGATGGGTTTCCATTACCTAATATGCTTCCAGGTGGTGCTGACACAGCACAGATTTGAATATTCCTCTCTGTGGGAAGTAGAGGTGCAACTTCTATACTTAACCTGCCGACAACCTGCTACTATAACTTTCCTCATAGCCTTGGGTTTGCATGGATCTAATGTCAACGCTTAGAGAGTAAATGTGGACAAGCAAACAGGAACCTTGAGCACAAGGGCCTCATTCTGCAGCTCTGCTTCTCCTTCATCTCGGCAGGCTATGCTCACAGAGCTGACCCCTGACCTTGGCTGTGCTCTGTGCCAGAGAGCTGTCTGCTGGTAGACCAGAAAGCCTTAGTGGCTGTGGTGATATGTCACTCATGATTATGTAAAGCTTGCCTGAGGAGTCAGAAAGAAAGTCAGCCTCTCAAAGTATAGAAACCAGGCAGTGGTGGTAGACACCCTCAATCCCAGGGCTTGGGAGAGGTATCTATGACAGGAACAGGGTCTCAGAGCTGGTATTCATTCTCCAGCCACATTGAGGATAGGAAGTCTCAGGAGTCTCGAGCCACTTTGAGGAAAGCATAGCAGTCTGAGGAGTAGTGAAGGCAGGAGCAGTTTAAGGATAGCCCCTTTGGTCTGAGTTGAGGTAGAGGTAAGAGCTAGTGACCAGCTGCTTTGCTTTTCTGATCTTCATCTTGAAGCTTGAACCCCAATATCAATCTCTGGGTCTTTTATTTTTTTTCGTGTTACAAGCTTCAACAGCTATATCTTCAAAAAGGCCACCTGGGGTGGGGGAGAAAAATCACAACACTTTACTAATAGAACAGTGGGATAACTGGATGCACATCAAATCCGATGAGGAGGGTAAATGTGGTCAACAGGATACATACCAATCTCCCAATATCAAAAGAAGTAACTCAGGCGAGGCAGACATTGGATTTTACAGCAAGAACCAATCAATCTTTTTTAAATGAGCCATCAAGTAATTAAAATGACTCACATCCACTTTAAAGAAAAAAATAGAGTTTTAGTTGACAGTAAAGTTTTATATCCATGAAGTAATCTAGTTTATGTTCCCATTGGTTCAAGCTACTCTTTTAGCAGAATTCTGAGTTTAGAAGATTGCCAGGCAATTCTATGTCCTTAACGCTGTTGGTAAGTATATCATCTTCTCCTCAGGTCATGCTGATACTTTTAATTATATGCAATTATATTTGTTGTGTTTGCCAGTTGCAATTCATCTTAACCCAGTGTTTAAAATAAAACTTAATTCATACAGGCTTATGTGCAAAATATTTTCAAACTGTTAATAAGGCACGGATCAACACCTGTAACTTCTCAATAGTTCTAATAACAGAGAAACCAGCCATAAATGTTTACAAAATTTTAGTTCAGAGGTGACAACAAATTGGGAACGATGGTAACATCAGGAAGAGAGCCAAACACAGAGGTAATGCTAACCAGAGTGGAAGGTTTGGGAAGCTTTGCACGAGGCCAACAAAAGGAAAATCGCCATTAGAGAAGTGTCAATGGCATCAGGGAAGTTAGTGCCTGCATCCCAGCTCCAGTGTAATGGCACAGAGTTAATGATCCCTGTTAGAAGGAAAGGAAAAAGGCAGAGGCCTGCGGTGCAGAAGGCATCGGCTTTATGGAGAGCGTTTCAGAGGAACTCTTCATATGGTGCTGGAAAGAAAGCACTGCTGAGTTGCCATATCCACTTCCTGCTGAACTCCTACATCAAGTTTTACGATAAGAGCACCAAAGTTGAGGGAACAGGCAAGGAAGAAGGGTTACAGTTCCTAAATGACTTCTAAACACAGGACAATTACAACTGGTATAAACCTCCAGGGCTTTCTGTGATGACTGAATGAGATAATAGGCTGGGTAAGGGTGGGAAATGTGTGTTAGGGTAGACCAAGCTCTATAAGTGTGTGTAGACTAGCCTGAGCCACATAGTAAGGGCCTGTCTCGAGAACTATAAATAAATAATAAAAATATAATGGTTATTAAAAGATAATATGCTACATGAATTCAAGTGATTTTTCCCTCTCCATCTCCCACTTTTCCACTGTTAACAGATGGGAAGGAGTGTTCAAGAGAGACTCATGTATATCCCATTAGGGGTTAAGAAATAGTTCTAGAATTAGATGGGTTGGGAGAACATAGGTCACTGAGTCTGGCACAGGGTTCACTGAGGGCAATGGTGATTATGCTTCTTCTATGCAGTGTGCTGGGAGATAAAATACACAGCCTTATAAAGACAAAATCAGTTATCTCTATACATTCTGCAAATTATTGTGCCACAGAGTAATTAAAAAAGCAATGGACACCATTGTGAAAGTGGCTAGGAAATTCAGCTATGAAGACCCTGAGACAGTCTTAGTTGTCAACAACTGGGAGGGGGCGGTGACTAACATCTAACAGGGGAAGGTAGAGGTGCTGTTCAGTATCCTAAAAATCATAGGACAGCCTCCTCAAATGCCCCCAAATGTCAACAGTGCAGTGCTGAGAACTCTGTAATTACAGAATCGGTTTGTGAGAGCAGATCTCTCATTGACTACTTCTGTGACCTGTAATGGGCTGGTTAACCTCTTTCCATCTTTCTGCACCTGCAAAATGGGGATTGTAAAAGGCCCACCTGAAACCTGTAAAGCATTCTATAGTGTAGGAAGCTTATTTTGACTCTATTTGCCCTGAGCACAGCCCTAGGATTAAGGCAGACCAGCACTTGAAACACTAGTTTACAAAAGAATAAACAAGCTCAGAAAACCTGAGTGACTTCCTGAGTACACAAAATCTGTGATGGTGGACTCAGAGAGAAACTATGGCTTGAAAACCCTACTTTTCTCACCATAACCTAGGAGATAAATGAGAAAAAAGCTAGAGGTACAGGGACCTTGAATCCTACTAACTCCTCAAACATCAAAAGACAAGCTTTGGTTTTCTACTCTTGTGATGGTGAACTTAACACAGAGAACAATAATACTAGAGGCTAAACTAACCAAATAATGCAAAGAAGACCCACACACCAAATAAGAAAAACCTGAAACTTTGACCTAAAGAGTTTTTATCTCTAGTTTTGTTAGCTTTCCCTACTAAGTGCATTATGTACTTTCTAAGTCTCAATAACAAAAACTGGCATCCAAACTTGGGGGCAGGTACTACGTGATGCTTTGTGGTCCCTTTGTATTTAAGTCACTGTGAGTTAACTATCTCAAAAGCTGATTTTTGCATTCACTAGCTTTTATCTGTGACAGGAGAAACTGCTTCCATTACTGCCATTTATTTTTGAGAAAGGATAATTTTTCTACTTTTATGATCTTGAGAAAATCCCGTTTCAAAGCTGCACCCCTCCGAGCTCTGTTGGCTCTTGCATGCCTAAAAATACACATCACAAAGGGTAAATAGTGACTTGAGACACTGGAAGAGAGGACTCTCTCCACGGTCACAAGGGTCACAAGATGTGACTCTGTGATCGCGCATCTGGATATGAACAGTTGGAAGGAAGCTGAGCTAAGAGATCTAACGATATTGTACCTGCTTTGAGTCATCTAAAAGCAATCATCTTAAAGGACAATAAACAGGATGCACTGATGGAGTGGTTAAATCTATAATGCTTCAGTTAAATATGAGCAACATGTTAGACATTGAAAAAAACATCCTTTAATCTTAGTTAACAGAGCTATATTTATTGTTAGTGGAGATTTCAGTCAATAGGAAGACATTGTCAAAGCAGGCCACTCGAGATACAATTTGCATTTTTAAAAGCTATCTAAGTGATTTGAGATATGTTAAACTCAATAAGACTGTAAAATACTGGACATTTTGAGTTTCATAATTGCAAGTTTTTATTTTTACGGGTATGAGTGGTTTTTGTCTGCATGCATATCTGTGCAAAAGTCTGGTGTCCACAAAAGTTAGAAGAAGGTACCCAATGACAGTTGTGAGCCACCATGTGCATTCTGGGAATGGAACTTGGGTCCAACCAGTGCTCTTAATAACGGGGCCATCTTTCCAGACCCTCACAACTACAGGCTTTCAAAAGGATTCTACAATAAAATACTTATAGCTGTACATAGATGTCCCTTCTAAGGGGTGCTAGTAAGATGAAATAGATTGGCTTTATGTTAAAACAAGAAAATATTATATTTTATGCTTTGTATGGTAAAATATACCTTATATTATAATATAGTTTCTAAGAACCAAACTCCATTTACATAATAAAAGATAATCGTGGAAACAAAAATAAATGTAAATATCAAACTTTTTCTAGCATTGAGCAAATATATTTGGCATGTTCAAGTGACACTGGGATTAAATAATTCTCCTGACTTCCTGGCTCAGTATTTATCAGGGGACTGTTAACAGCACCTGCACCTGACTTTTGAGTTGGATACAGTGTAAGACAGACTGGTAGGCTGACTTCATCTGTCTGTTGGTTCATTGTCTGTTTTATGCCACTGACTGTCCCAGTAACAACCACTTGAGAAGAAAGGATCCCCTCATGATGCTAACACAAGAGTGGGTACCATTCAAGCAATGACATGTCCTAATATGATGGATATATTTAAGATGGATGCCTAACACCACCCAAGTTATGAAAAGAAAATAGACTTCTAAAGCAGTTCCCTGCAGTATGTGATTATGACTCTAATGGATTTTGTACTGGAACAAAGAGACAGTGAAAGTTGGCATGACAACGAGTTTGGTGCACACTGATTCCCACTAAAAGATGCTGGTTTGCTAAAGGGATTCTGGCAAACAGTCAGAGGAGAAGGCCCTGCTGAGCCCACAGGTGCATTTAACTAGACTAAGGGAGCTTAAGCACAGCCTTCCAACTCCAGAGGTCCTGTACAGCCTGAGAAGAGACCTTCAAAATGTGGGGGCAGAGTGAGACAGTATCTGTGGATTAATATAAACTTTCATGTTTACACTGTGATGACTGGTATATAACAACAACAACAAAAACAAAATAACAAAACAAACAGACCAAAACAAAACTTGTTGGTTTTCATGTACCAGGGGAATAGGGAAGCTAAGCTACTAGGAGAAGGGCAGCTGGTGGCTCCATCTGAAGATGCGGCAGAAAGTGTGGACCAACACATCAGCCACTTGTTGGCGTTCTCGCCTTCCATAAAGGAAGCAAGTTCAGGGCACATACTTAATCATCACTTCTTTCAGAACATGCAGGTTACGGAAGGCACTGCTATCGCTGGCTGGACAGAGCTGCTGTGGCACTGGAGTGAGCTGCCAGTTCTGAAACGCCACTTACATAAAGCAAACTCAGTCACTCTGCTAAGGACAGCAAACCCACGGGGCCAACATTTACATGGGGATCGGTTTTAAAGTGGTTCATAAAATCTACCGCCTCAAGCACAAATTGTGTTTGTTAGGAAATAATGATATTCGTGTGGGTGGGTGCTAAAAATGCCGGATACAAAAAGGTGCTACCTCAATAAATGCGCCATCACTCAAACATTTCCAAAGCCCTTGTTTCTCTTTTCTCTGGAATAGCTGTGAGGGGGATCATGGAGCAACACAGGGCGGCACCAGGGAAGCTATGGACCAGGGTGTTTGGAAATTCTCTCTCATTGGTACCAACAGCCCCAGAATAAACAAACATAGTCAGGAGTGGAGTTCCTAGAAGCCAGGGTCTTTTCTGCAGTATCAAGTAATTGAAACAGTTACCACTGTCTCCTGAAAGGTGGCTTTAGCACAAAACAAAACTGGTTTTGTTTGTTTGTTTGTTTGTTTGTTTGTTTGTTTGAGCAAGTTCTACTAAA